CACCCACACCCACACCCACACCCACTCCCACACCCACACCCACACCCACACCCACACCCCACCCAAATCAAACTGATAGATTTGTCATTTGTGGTCATTGATAGATAGAATATAGATCATACACCATGTGTAAAATAATGATGCCTATGACTTAATCTTGTAGATTATCAAAAAAACATTTGTTTCTTTTTAGGATAAATTATTTAATCTAAAATGTTTCTCATTAAAATCGTTCTTTCAATTTCAACAATATGATAAAATTGTATCACTTCTTCGTCGTATGTCAAATCTGGAAAAATTAACTTTATATCTTCCTATAGAAGGTCGAAATAAAGTGATTGATGGTACTTATGTTCAACATGATATTTTGGATTATATGCCACAACTTCATTCATTCACTTTCTATATTTGTACTTATGTGAAAACGGTTGATTTATCTTACAAATTATCTAGTGAAGATATTCAACAAACATTAACAAATATTGGACAACAACATGTCACGAGTATAGTCAATTATATTCATTGTGGGATAGCTGCATGCTCGATTTTCTCACTTCCTTTTCAATTTGATTATCTCAAACATCTTGGCAATAAATTTCCAAATATTGTATTCAGTTATGTTACGTTTTTACTTGTAGAAGATATTAATCTATTCAAACATGAATTTTTCATTCGAATTGCCCGATCGTTTCCATTACTGAACTTTTTACGTATTTTTAATAGAAAATCACAAGTATTAGATGGTCTTATGACATTTTCATCTGACAATTGTCAATTACACTCAATTATTGAATATCATCATCTGACTAGACTCGATGTGAGAGATGCACATAGAGATTATGTTGAACAATTTCTAAATGAAACAAAGACATATATACCTTGTCTGACGGAATTTGGAGTCGATGTTGATGATTTAAAAGCTGTAACAAAAAACTTTACAAGAAAAGAAACACGACGCAATTGTGCTAAGGTGAAACGAATAGTTGCGCTACAATCATTGAAATATTCGAAAAATTTTTTCTTTATTTTCCTTTGTTGTATAAGTAGATGTATTCTTGTTTTGATTTATTCAATAAACTGAAAAACATGATAAATATTGTATTTATAGGCTAATGATATTTTGTCAAATATAAAGAAATATCAACTATTAATGATTGGTTCTCATTTTATAAAAAAAATCACACAACATTTTGTGATGCTGCAGAGTTATATATAAAATGAAAATGCTCCTTCCGCTATTGTTTGAAGACATACAAAAAGATTTAATTTCATTTTAAATGTAAAAATAGTTCTTACTTTTTCAATCTAACTCAAATTAAAGAATAAATGAACATTAATTTCTGATTGCATTCGATCTAAAGTGCAAAACAATTTCAGTAATTGGATTTGATGTATGCGCGATATGAAGTTGTTATCCGTCTCAGTTAACGTAAACTATCTTTCTTGGAATCAGACTCATATTCTTATAGTTTTGAACGAAATGAAATTACTTCAAAATATACTAGCAGAAAAACTAACATCTTTAACTTGCTGCCGTTTTTAATATACTATCAGATCAACGAATGTCAAAATATTTCATCTTTCTATTAATTATCTTATCTCATTGATATATTCTATCTAAGAGAATTCATTCAAATGTAATAGAACATATAATTATTACAAGCTTTCATTACATTTTTCCTAGTGAGATATTTTCAATTTAGACTTCAATAAATCTTTAAATATTTATTTTAAAAATAAAAATAAATAAAAATAAAAACTATTTACCCAAGAGAATGACGGGGGGTCGGAACCTGTCGGACAGATCTCAAATCCGTTTATATCCGACAACCGGATTTTTTTCCGACGTAATCCAGCACGGACTCTCATGCGCAGGATTCCGACACCAACCAAGTAGGATCCGATGAACATCACCACGGATTTCGACGGATTCCGACGCAATTCGCTGCGTATACGATGGCTTCCGACATGATCCGAGCGCCAGATCCGCTGACCTACAATACTCACACCGCGGCATCGGATTCTATCGGATGCCTTTCGGAACCAGCCGAACAAGAGGATCGACACTTTTCCGACGTATTCCGGTCCGAAGTGCGAAGACAGGAACCTAACGAAAACTACCAAATAAACAGACCCATTCTTAAATCAACGACATGGGCTATCAAAATGATCCGGTATCACATTCTACACATTCGCCTACGAAATATATAAAATAATAGCTGACCAACAAACGGATCGTCTCCGCTACCACAAACTACTAGACTGACCTCAAACACATTATATATTCAAAACACATTCACATATATCGCAGTAGAATATAAGCACACCCAAGCCTCAATATTCCATTCCGGAAAAAGAAATTAACTACGCAATAACATATCAATCTCTTTCACCAACAAACAAAGCTAAAATCAAATCACATAGATGCGACCACAAATGCAATTTGCAACAAACACAGATTCCCAAACTCAGCCGAGCAAAACTATCTATCAGTGAGCATTCAACACCAATTTCAATCCATACCCTCTAATGCACCAGGAACATGGAGTGACGCGCAGAAAAAACCCTACACCAAAACAATTCATCTCCCATCTCAAGAACAATTCTTCTTGCCGAAACCATCCCTACATCGGAATCATAAACCTCAGCCAAAATCAGCACAAGCCGCTGATTTCAATCGACATCACACCAAGCACAAAGATTGCTAAATTTCATACGAAAAACATGCTAACACCAAACTTTTCAGATATGGTCTGCAATATACTATTCCCCTTCCGTATTTACGTTAACTATAAACAAACGACTCAGCGAAACTCACCCATCCATGCTCATTCCACTCAATAAGTCACTATCCACTAAAATCAAAAACCTCAAACCAAACCACAGTTAAAATCAGGCAACTCAAATACCATATGGAATACAATTTTTCTTCCCACCAATCTCCATCCGATAAAACACTAATATTGAGCAAAAGTGAGCATTCAATACACATTTTCATCCATATACAACTACATACAAAAACAAGCAATCTCCCATAAAAGAAAATCTAAAAAAATACAATTCAGATGCGATCTAAAATATCTTTTAAATTCATCACACATTCGCTATTCTCGAAGAAGAACATTGAGCAAAAGTGAGCATCCAATGCTCATTTTCCTTGATGTCCAACTAGAGGGAAAAACAAATAATCTTCCATAACAAAAAATCTCAACAGATACGATTTCGATGAGATCTGAACTATTTTTTTAATTCTTCACACATTCGTTATTCTCGAAGAAGAGAAGTGAGCAAACGTGAGCATCGAATGGTCATTTTCCACGATATGCAACCAACGACAAAAACAAGTAATCTTCCACAAAAAAAACCTAAAAAGACATGATTTAGATGCGATCTAAAATATTTTTTCAATTCCTCACACATTCGCTATTGTCGAAGAAGAGAAGTGAGCGAAAGTGAGCATCGAATGCTCCTTTTCCTCAACATGCAACTAGAGACAAAAACCAGCAATCTTCCACAAAAAAATGTAAAAAGATATGATTTAGATGCGATCTAAAACACTTTTTTAATTCTTCATACATTCGTTATCGTCGAAAAAGAGAAGTGAGCAAAAGTGAGCATCGGATGCTCATTTTTCTCAATATGCAACTAGAGACGAAAACCAGTAATATTCCATAAACAGAATTTCAAAAACACATGATTTAGATGCGATCTAAAACACTTTTTTAATTCTTCATACATTCGTTATCATCGAAGAAGAGAAGTGAGCCAAGGTGAGCATTTGATGCTCACTTTCATAGAACTGGTACAAGGAAAGTCAAAGTAAACAATGAGTCACTGGAAAGGATCATCGATGATGCTTTCGATGTGATGTGAAAGATTTTTTGAAATCGAGAAGTATTTACTACGTATGTATAAAAAGTGAGTAAAAATGAGCACTTGATTCTCACTTTCATAGATCTGGTAGAAGGAAAGTCAAAGGAAATAATGAATCACTGGAAAGGATCATCGATGATGCTTTCGATGTGATGTGAAAGATTTTTTGAAATCGAGAAGTATTTACTATGTATGTATAAAAATTGAGCAAAAGTGACCATTTAATGCTCAGTTTCATAAAACTGGTAGAAGGAAAGTCAACGGAAATAATGAATCACTGGAAAGGATCATCAATGATGATTTCGATGTCATCTGAAATATTTTTTCAAATCCAGAGCTAGTTACTACATATGTATAAAAACCGAGCAAAAGTGAGCATTTGATGCTGACTTTCATAGAGGTGGTAGAAGGCAAGTCGAAGTAAAGAATGGGTCACTGGAAAGGATCATCGATGATGATTTCGATGTGATGTGAAAGATTTTTTCAAATCGAAAATTATTTACTACGTATGTCTAAAAAGTGAACAAAAGTGAGCATCTGAGGCTCACTTCCGTAGAATTGGTAGAGGGAAAGTCGAAGTGAATAATGAGTCACTGGAAAGGATCATCGATGATGATTTCGATGTGATCTGAAAGATTTTTTCAAATCAAGAAATATTTACTCCTTTTGTATAAAAAGTGAGCAATAGTGAGCATTTGACGCTCACTTTGATAGAACTGATTGAAGGAATGTCGGAGTTGGGATTGAGTCACTGAAAAATATCATTGATGATGATTTCGATGTGATCTTAAAGATTTTTTCAAATCCAGAACACTTTACTATGTATGTTAGGAATGATTCTGCGGAAAAGATTATGGGTGATGATTTTGGTATGACCAAGAATGTTTTGATATTGGAGAATGTTTCCTGGTATAGAGAGAGCGTAAGTAAACATGAGCAGTTTATCATGATGTTGGTAGTTAATGTTGCTTTCACCATCGAGGTGACGTGACTATGTCAGGTAAAGGTCATTTGTTGTGATTGACGTATGGTGTTGCAGCTGTGGACAAGGTGGTTAGCGTTGGATATTGAGGAGAAGGACAAGTGGAAGTGTTGAAGTTGTTCGGTAGATTGTGAGTATGGGTATGCATGGGCTGGGAGAAGGTTATTGCGGCATGGTATATTTGATAGTGAGATTGGTGTGATAGCATAGCTGTATATGGGCTCTTCAAGTAGTTTGCTTGGCTGTGAATTGACTAACTATGGTTTACATGGTGATTTTTGGGAAGCAATGCTATAAGAAGAGAAGCTGCATGTTTGTTTTGGGGAAACGGGAGGCTTTGGATGGTCGAGCGCTTCACGTTTCGTTTATGGTTTGTGTTTGTTTTTTGCGAGAAGCGAAAAATGAGCCGAGCATTGATTGGACACTTACTGTGTGTGTAGTGTGGAAGTGATTATTGGATCCTGACAGAATGGTAAGATAGTGTGATTCGGTTGGATGCTAGGCATGAGCTTAGTTATTGAAAATGTGCCGTTTCGAGAAACTCGAGGCAGATATAAGGGCCTCTCAGATGTTCATTTTAGGAAAAGTTTATGGAGATATTGTGGAAGTAGGTATGGTTTGGCAATGATGATTAGTGTATACGGTTTCTTTTTGTTTTCGATTGTGCCTGGAATGTGATAAGTTCGCGTTTTGTGGGAAGTTGAACGTTATTAGGAGACTTCTAGTGTACGGATTTGAATGGATGGGTTCGGTGACGGGTTTTGGCTTTTAACGGCATTTGAAATTGATTAGAATTGATATTGTGATGTATTTTTGAGTTTTTAATGGTTCTATTGTTTTTTCTTTTTTTTATGATGTTGAAATTGTCTGTTTATGTTTTTATAATGTTATAGTTTGTTCATGGTGTTATTGGGTCGGATGTTTTGCAATCGTGAAGCAGTGAGGCATGGCTGTTTGGTTTGTTTGTGGTATCAGGTCATTGATATATTGTCGTCTTTATTCGAAAGCCATTGTTTTATGGGAAAAGCTGCGTATGAATGTTGCTCTCGGTTTGTGTTTCGATTACTGATTCATGAATTGTGATTTGTTTTTGGTTGTTCGTGATGGATCATATTTATTTGAAGTATGTCTCCGTCTTTTGTATGTTCCATCCAGCCTATTTGGATTAGGTGTCTTGGGAGTTCTTTGTAGG